ATGGCAGGAGCGTAGGGAGAGACGGAGGAGGAGCGAGCGTGGAGAGAGGGGAGGAGGAGGAGGAGAGTGGAAGGAGATGGTGGGCGAACGGCTCTCGGAGTACAGCAGATACGCTTACCGGTGAGAGCTTTGCTCGCTTGAACCTGCAGCTGATGTTGAGGGGCAGGAACATGAAGGAGAAGATTACCGTGGGAGCGCGAAGAGTGTTGGGCGGAGTCAGCATGGCAAGCGCCCTGGCGAACAAGCTTGACGTCACAGGAGCGAGACAGAAGAGAGAGTCAGCCGTCTACCTCGAGGTGATGGACGTCCTCGCTCGCTGCTCCTGATCGCCCGACAGAATCGGAGGAGGGAGCTTCTCAGCCAGAAGTTCGTCAAGGTGCCGGAGCCTGATGAGGAGGTGCTGACCTCTGCGACGGTTGATGTCAAGGTTGAGCTTCAGCTCCCCTCCAGCTGGTCTCTGATCACGTTCACCAGGTGGTGGAGTCCGACTCTCAACTGGAGCCAGCAGAGGTGCCGTGAGTGGCAACGACTTGCACTGAGAGCGACAGCAGGGGGAGGATCTCAACTCAGCAGCGGCAGATGCAGCAGGAGACTCGCTCTCGCTCTCCTCCGACAATCGAAGCACGGGAAGGCAGGATGCGGTACCGCTGCCGCCTCCTCCTCCTCATCGTGACCTTCGGCTGTCCAGGAGCGGGAGAGGACGCGAGGAGAGACCAAGGCGGTTCGAAGGAAGATAAGCTCTCTGAAGCAGCAGCGAGAGAGAATCGTCCAAGTCGTCCGGCAGTTGTCCAGCGGTCGGTGGCTGCCTCACGACCAGGTCCTGGCAGCGGCGGCTGACATGCGGTGACGGGGGGGAGGCAGGTGGGGGGGAGGAGACGGTCAGCAAGAACCAGCGGAATCTCCGGCGAGCCTCTATCAACGTGCTGGCTGTGGTGAAGGCCAAGGAGATCGTGCGAGTGTGTGATCCGGCTCTCCTCCTCGTCCTCGTCCTCGTCCTCGTCCTCCTCGTCCTCGTCCTCGTCCTCGTCCTCCTCACCGCCTGCCGCAGAAGCTCAACCGACAACGACAAGCGGACAAGTTCGAGGAGGCTGCCGGTGAGACCCTCTCCTCCTCTCTCCTCTCGCTAACGAAAGACGTGCAAGGGGAAGGAGGGAGAGAGCAGGGGCAAGGTCGCGGGTGACTGCAGCGTCACCTCAAGCGCTGACTGCCTGACAGGCTTGCGAACAAGTTGGAATCAGAGCTCGAGGCATCCGTACCCATGGTCCTTCGTCAACGTCTACGTCCTCCGAGCCAGCGGCGACTGTCAGAGGGAGGTGTCGCTGCTGTGGCGTGAAGTGTTTCCTGCCCTCCGCCAGGTGCTCCTCCCTCCCCCCCCGTCGCTCAGCTGCTCCTTGCCAGATGATGGCGCGGGCTCAGATTGAAGTCAACATCCGCGAGATCGAATGCGATCACGTCACCATGACCCAGCAGCAGCTGAGAAGCCCCGACCTGGTAAAGCAGCAAAGCAGAGCTTGACTTGCGTATGGTAGAGCTTGACTTGTGTATGGTAGAGCTTGACTTGTGTATGGTAGAGCTTGACTTGTGTATGGTAGAGCTTGACTTGTGTATGGTAGAGCTTGACTTGTGTATGGTAGAGCTTGACTTGTGTATGGTAGAGCTTGACTTGTGTATGGTAGAGCTTGACTTGTGTATGGTAGAGCTTGACTTGCGTATGGTAGAGCTTGACTTGTGTATGGTAGAGCTTGACTTGTGTATGGTAGAGCTCGACTTGCGTATGGTAGAGCTTGACTTGTGTATGGTAGAGCTTGACTTGTGTATGGTAGAGCTTGACTTGTGTATGGTAGAGCTTGACTTGCGTATGGTAGAGCTCGACTTGTGTATGGTAGAGCTTGACTTGTGTATGGTAGAGCTTGACTTGCGTATGGTAGAGCTTGACTTGTGTATGGTAGAGCTTGACTTGTGTATGGTAGAGCTCGACTTGCGTATGGTAGAGCTTGACTTGTGTATGGTAGAGCTTGACTTGTGTATGGTAGAGCTTGACTTGTGTATGGTAGAGCTTGACTTGCGTATGGTAGAGCTCGACTTGTGTATGGTAGAGCTTGACTTGTGTATGGTAGAGCTCGACTTGTGTATGGTAGAGCTTGACTTGTGTATGGTAGAGCTTGACTTGTGTATGGTAGAGCTTGACTTGTGTATGGTAGAGCTTGACTTGTGTATGGTAGAGCTTGACTTGACGTTTCTTTGATTTCTGTCAGGCGTTTCCCGCGTTGTCAGAGAGCAACGCCATGTTTGTTGTTCTCATCGGCTACTCCTATGGTGGGCTCTCTTCCTCGTCCCTCGATGCTTCTCAGCCCTCACAGTTCGACTTCCTCTGCACGGAGGTCGCCAAGCGTGGGAGCTTGTCCTTCACGCTCAAGGGCGAGAGCAGCCGCTGCCCGCGCGCCTTCTTCTACGTGTGTGTCGACCCCGACAGCAGTAGCATGCAAGCTCAAGATTCGTTCCATGAGTCCTCCGTCTCCGCCAGCTTCTTCGGCTCCGTCAGCGTCTCCGACTCACTTGGCTCCGGATCAAAGCGAGCGGTCAAAGCGACACAGGTGAGGGAAACAATGCGAAATAGAGAGATGAGATACAAGTAAGAGATGAGATACAAGTAAGAGATGAGATACAAGTAAGAGATGAGATACAAGTAAGAGATGAGATACAAGTAAGAGATGAGATACAAGTAAGAGATGAGATACAAGTAAGAGATGAGATACAAGTAAGAGATGAGATACAAGTAAGAGATGAGATACAAGTAAGAGATGAGATACAAGTAAGAGATGAGATACAAGTAAGAGATGAGATACAAGTAAGAGATGAGATACAAGTAAGAGATGAGATACAAGTAAGAGATGAGATACAAGTGATTGATATGTTTGCAGGACAAGTTGAGTTTGATCAAGAAGAAGAAGAGAGAGAGATCGCGGCAACGTAAGATGGAGGTCTTGAAGCTTACAGACTTGATCTTCACTGCGTTGATCCGTAACCCGATGACGGGACAAGCTCGCGATGCTACAAGTGTGTTCGAGGAGCTGGACGAGGACGGCAACGGCAGTCTCGACAGGATGGAGTTTGTCAAGGGGCTGCAGTCGTGTGGGGTAGAGCTGGAGGAGGAGCAGGTGGACCTGGTGTGGGAGCATCTGGACGAGGACAAGGGAGGGAGTCTGGACTACTCGGAGGTGTGCGAGAAGCTGCGGGAGAAGAGCGAGGAAGCGAAGAGGAAGAAGGAGCGCCTGCTGTCTCAGATGCCTTTCAAGATCTCCTCCAAGGTCGAGCAGCTGCACGGGGAGGGGCTGCGAGCTAGAGTGGACGTGAGGAGAGACTTCAGGGACTCAGCAGAGGCCCAGCTGACGAGGTGGCTGACGAAGCTGAAGGAGCTTGCGCTAGCGGACCTGCGAGACAGCATCCCGTTGGTGGGCCTGGCGCAACTCGAGGAGGTCGAGCGAGCGACTGAAGGGGCTGACGCATCGTCGCTGTTTGACACACCGGAGTTTGACGGCCAGAGGCTCGGGACCTCCCAGCCCGCCAACGTGAGTGAGTTCCAGGAAGAGTTCGACGAGACTCTCTCAGCTGCCCAGGAAAACTCCAACTGGCCTGTCGCTCTCGTCGGCGAGCCGGGTCCAGCTAGGACCCAGCTTTTTCAAACGGTGGTGGAGCATCTCGAGTATCAGAGCAGGAGCGACGGGGTGATCTATCACCGTGTCGGGGGCTCTCCTTTCTCCCAGGACATCTCCCTCCTGCTCACTCGAGTCTGCCTCGAGCTTCGCGCCAAGTTCCACCTCCGAGGAAGCATCCCCCAGCTGGACTACGAGCCTCTCAAGCAAGAGTTCGCGTCGCTTCTGCTGCAGGCCAAGATCACGAGCAGACTGTACCTGGTGCTGGAGGACTTGGACTTGCTGGAGAGAGACGGGAGGAGGTTGGAGGAGGTGGACTGGCTGCCGCAGTCTCTTCCCTTCAACTTCAAGCTCGTGGTGTCTTGCAGCGATGGTCGGCTCCTGAACAACCTGAAGCAGTCTCGCACCAGTTTCGGTCACTCCTCTGAGCTCTACGAGATCTGGCTTGACAGCGCCTCCCTCGACGGCCCTTCCTCTCCCTCCTCTCCTCCCTCCTCCGCCTCCTCCCACCGCTCTCACGCTGACCCCCAGTCGTCGGCATTGCCGGCTACCGGACACACGTTCCATGCTGCTTGGAACGAGCTGGGGATCTGTCAGAGGCTGGAGCTGGGAGCAGAGCTGGGGAAGGAGCAGGTGCTGGAAGCCTTGTACCAGCATCACGGCAAGGCTTCAGTTCAGAGACTGGTGCTGCTGCTGCTCGTCGGGAGGGAGGGGCTGCTGGAGCAAGACCTCTACGAGCTGCTGAACCTCTTCAGCGAGGAGCTCCAGCTGCCGCCGTCGCGATGCTCATGGCCGCGTTACCAGCTGCTGATCAACGACCTCAAGCCCGCGGTCTCGTTGCTGCCGTTCGGTCAGACAAGCCTGGTCATGGCAAGCTCGCCTCAGCGCATGAGCTGGTTGGCTGCCGCCTGTGAGCAGCTGGACAAGACGGAGGGGCACAAGCTAGTGGCTCTTCACTACCTGACGAACCTCAGGTTCCTCGAGGATGAGAGCTGGCATGGCGAGAACAGATTCAAGGTGAGTGACTGACTGACTGACTGACTGACTGACTGACTGACTGACTGACTGACTGACTGACTGACTGACTGACTGACTGACTGACTGACTGACTGACTGACTGACTGACTGACTGACTGACTGACTGACTGACTGACTGACTGACTGACTGACTGACTGACTGACTGACTGACTGACTGACTGACTGACTGACTGACTGACTGACTGACTGACTGACTGACTGACTGACTGACTGACTGACTGACTGACTGACTGACTGACTGACTGACTGACTGACTGACTGACTGACTGACTGACTGACTGACTGACTGACTGACTGTCTGACTGACTGACTGACTGACTGACTGACTGACTGACTGACTGACTGACTGACTGACTGTCTGACTGTCTGTCTGACTGACCGAGCCTACCTCAGATCTTGAACCTGGTGGACCACTTGCTGGGCGCGAGCATGTGGAAGGAGCTGCTACGGACCGTCTGCTCCCTCCGCTACTGCGAGGCTCGGGCTTGTCTCGGGGTCTTCTCCCTCTCCTCCTTGTGCTGGAGTCTGCGGAAAGTTGTGGGGGCAGCAGCCGGTGGGGAGCAGTGGACGAAGCACGATCTGATCCAAGTGAAGGACGTTTACGTAGGGCAAGACGTTCATGTCGACATGCGATGCCTTAAGCGATGAGTGGGATAGTAGATGTTGAATGATGACGTGTCGTCGTTTGTTGATGCCCCATGTTGACTGTGACTGCTCAGGCTATGATCCAGCGCTACTGCGATGAGCTATCGAGGCGGTCCGACTGGTTCTTCTCGCTTGCTCTGAACCTGCCGGACGTCACTGGCCCTTCGCGTCAAGCCAAGAAGGTCTGGCAGGCGAGGCGAGAGCATCGTCCGCAGCTGGTGTGGTTGTCGAAGCCGCAGATCATGGGGATGTACAAGTTTGCGAGCGAGGTGAAGGAGGTGGAGCTGAACTCCTGCTGCTCCTCGAGGGACTTGATCTTTGCCGTCGGTCGCTCCTCCTTCCTCTACGTCTTTGACGCCATGGAGGGGTCGCTGCTGTTTGCCGTCAAAGCGCACGAGGATCACGGCCTGCACTGCTGCCTGTCAGCTGACCACCAGCTGCTTCTGTCGACCGGTCGCGACGGGACTCTCTTGCTCTGGTCGCTTCCTCTGCAGGCCTCCAGCAGCCCCCTGCTCAAGATCGTCGCCCATGACACGCCTGTCTGGTGCGGCGACTTCGGGCGGACGTTCGAGGGGGACGTGGAGTTGTCATACTTCGTCGGGCTTGACAAGTCGGAGAGCGAGAGGGAGTTGATGCGGGTGGCGGGGAGGTACGTGAACGAGTACTTTGACAGGCAAGACGGCTTCTTGTCGTATCCTCTCATGCTCAACGGAGAGCTTCTCCTTTCCCACCCTCTCTCGGACTCCCGCAAGCACAAGGCGATCAACCGCACTGGCTCCATCAACCGCACTGGCTCCATCAGTCGTACTGGCTCCATCAGTCGTACTGGCTCCATCAGTCGAACTCCATCGATCCGACGGACTCAGAGCAGGTTGTCAGGGGAAGGAGCTGAGGTAGAGCCGGTGCAGGCGTACTCGTCGGAGGATCGGGTGAAGGGGCGACTGGTGCTGCTGCAGCTGGAGGGGCGGGAGGCGGAGCTGCTTCAGCATCATCTCAGCGCCGTCGCTGACTTGAGTCCCCTCGCTATCCTCGTGCCTCTCGAGACGGTGGAGATGGAGCGAGTCTCGATCCCGACCTCCGTCCCCATCGTCGCGCTTGACCTCCCGCCTGCCTCTTCCCTCCGAGACGGCATCCTTGTGTCCCTGAAGCGTCAGTACAAGCGCCAGGGCCTCGTCGCCTCCTGCTCCTCCGACAAGACTGTCAAGGTCTGGAACCTTCCCAACGACCTGGAGGCGGCGGCTGGTCGACGACAAGCTGATCCTCGGGCGGTTCTCAAGTTTCACTCGGCATGCGTCAACAGCGTCAGGTTCTCACACGCGGGAAAGTTTCTCGCCTCCTGCTCAGACGACGCTTCTCTTGCTCTATGGGAAACAGTCAAGTTCACCCTAGTCCGCGAGTTCCGTCCCTCGCACCTGCCGGTCCCTCCCCTTCCCCCTCCTCTCCCCTTCCCCCCTCCTCTCCCTCCCCCTCCTCTGACGCCATCGCAGATCTGCGGGATCGCTTGGACCCCAGACGACCAGCTGCTGCTGGCGTGCGGGCAGGAAGCATGCGTGAACCTGCTGGAGGTGCAGCAGGGGGGCAGCAGGAAGGTCCGAGCCCCCCACGTCGGGACTGTCTGGACGATCGACAGCTCGGAGGACGGAAGTTTTGTGGTGACGGGGGGGGAGGACGGGAAGCTTGTGCTGTGGCGATGGCGGGAGGACGGAGAGGGGATAGAGGAGCAGATGATGTTTGAAGGGCATGAGGGAGCAGTTTACAGCTGCTGCTTCATGCCGGACGAGCGGTGGATGGTGAGCTCGTCTCAAGACTTCACGGTGAGGCGCTGGAAGCGAGAGTTTGACATGGAGGAGTACTCGCTCGCCTCCTCCCTCCGCTCCTTCCTCCAGGCGCAGGAGGCCACCAAGAAGTCTCTTGACCTGCGAGACATCCTCTCGAGGAGCAGGCAGGGCTGGACCAACGCGGGAGGAGTGCGCGAGGTGTTCAAGGAGAAGCTCAGCGGCTGCTCCATCACCTGCGCCGCCTTCACCCCCAACCATCTCTACCTCCTCGCCGGCACTTCCGATCACTCGGTCGTCCTCTGGTCCCTCGACAAGCACAAGCTCCTCCGCACCCTCCGAGGACACGCCGCTGCCATCTCGTGTCTGCGAGTCACGTCCGACAGCTCCAAGGTCGCGTCGGGCTGCGGCAAGGGAGTGATCTGCTTGTGGCAGACCGACACAGGGCTCAGGCTCCAGAGGTTCAGCGAGCACTCGGACAAGATCCACGCGCTCGACCTCGACCTCTCCGCCTCCATCATGATCAGCGTCGCCGAGGACGCCACCCTCAAGCTCTGGAACCTCAAGCCTGCAACGTCCGCCCCCCAGCAGACTCCCGGCCTGACTGTCTACGACGACAGCCCAGCTCACTCCCTGCTGGGCAACTACGAGGATGCGGAGCCTTCGGCGAGGAAGGTTGTGATGGGGAACGAGCAGGAGGAGTTTGTCATGCAGACCGTCGCCTTCAACCGCGTCTTGCTCGCCTGCTGCCTGTCTCGCGACGGGAAGTTGGCGGTGGCAGGAGCTGACTCGCGCATACGCATCTTCGAGCTCCCCCGCAACCTCCGCGCTCCTCTCCGAGAGCTTCTGGAGCTGCCCAAGAAGGCCGAGGACGGGCATCAGAGCTACGTGCGGGACTTGGCGTTCGCGCCGGACAGCAAGCGGCTGATCTCGTGCGGCATCGACGGCAAGCTCAAGCTCTGGTCCCTCCGCAACGGGCTGCTGCTCCGCAACCTGGTGGGGCACGACAAGGAGGTGAAGCAGCTGAGAGTGTCGCCTGACGGCCGCGTCGTCTTGTCTTGCTCCCTCGACGGCACCGCCAGGATGTGGAACACGGACACAGGTCTGCTGCTGCTGCTGCTGCTGCTGCTGCTGCCCCCCCCTGCCCTCACGCTTGGCTGCAGGAGAAGAGCTCTTTGCTCTTCGACCGCAGGGTCAGTTGTCGTCCGTCGCCATCAGCAGCAGAGGAGAATTTATCGTAGGACTTCACCAGCTGCCTCTGCTCCTCCCCCTCTGCTCCTCCCCCCTCGCTCACTGCCTCTGCAGGCGACAGGGACGTTCGAAGGGGACCTGAGCGTGTGGAGCAAGGACAAGGTTGACTACGACAAGGCGTCCTCCCGAGGCTGGCCCCGTCAGTCGCTCTCCTCCTCCTCCGTCTCTCCAGCTGATGCATCCGCAGGCATTCGGCGACTCCTACCGCGCATTCGTCGGCTCAAGAGCACGCCCTGCTGCCTGTCGTCGAGCGGAGAGACGAGCTGCTTCCTGTCCAAGCGCTCAGACGTCAACACCGACGCGAGTCAGAGGCGCGCAGGGAGGGAGCAGTTTATGGTGAGGGAGACAAGAACAGGGAGGACGTTGCAGAGCTTCGAGCTGGCTGAGCCGATAGACTTTGCGGCAGTGAGCAACGACGGCAAGTCAGTCTTCCTCGCTCGCGGTCGTTTCCTCCTCCTCTACAACGAGGGGCTGGAGGTCAGTCGACTCGATGCGGCACACGATGCGAGCATCAACGGGATGATACTGAGTACGAGCTCTTCACTGATCTCTGCCTTCCTCCCTCTCTTCTTCCTCTCTGCCCCTCATCCTTCCCCTCCCTTGCCTTGTCTGACTGCCACTCGCGTCCTCTTGCCCTCACGCGCTCTCGCAGGCGAGGACGACGAGCTAGTCGCCACTTGCTCCGACGACTACCTCGCGCGCGTGTGGCGAGTGACGTCTGACCCGAGGCTCTCGCGCGTCAAGTCACTGCGAGGCCACGCGGCTGCCGTCCACTGCGTCTGCTTCTCCCCCGACCGGAGCCTCCTCGCCACCGGCTCCTACGACTCCAGTCGACTGCTTCCCTCCACCTCTACCCCAGCTGAGACTTGACCAGGTGTGAAGCTCTGGAGTTCCCAGACGTGGAAGTGCATAGCGACGGTGCTGGGGCATACGAATAGCGTGCATGCCGTCGCGTTTGACATGTTCGGGCAGAAGCTTGTCACGAGCAGCGAGGTAACGTCTGCTCAGCCTGTCTCACCCCCTCAAGCTCTCTCGTCTTTCAGGACAGCACCATCCGAGTGTGGCTGCTTCCCAGCAGCGTCGGGTCAGGGACGCGAATCTCAGAGACTCTGAGGATACAGAAGGTCAAGAGCAGAGTGCTGGCCGTGGACTTCACGAGCTGCGGGAAGAAGCTGGTGGGAGTGGTGGCAAGGAGGGAGATCTACGTGTGGCACGCGCTCAAGGGGTCGCTGCTGCACCTGTGGGAGTTCAACCCGTTCCTGGAGCAGGTGGAGGACAAGACCCGGTGGAGAACAGCTTCCCTCGCCCTCACCAGCAGCCTCAACGCTCTGATCGTGACCGACACTACCGGCTCCACGCTCTCATACACCATGTACATGTCTTGCCGCAACCCTTCTTGACCTGACAAGCAAGCAGAATAGGAATGCAGACTGATCAAGGGGACGAGGCCGGCGAAGGAAAGTGAAGGCAGAGGCAGAGCTTGGAGCGAGCGAGGAGGGATAGGAGCTCAATCTGCATGCCACGTCACGGAATCAACAAGCGAGGAGCGGCTGCCATACGTTGCGTATCGTCCCAGCTCTCTCCGAACCCTGACGCGCCGTCGGACCATGCCGTGCCGCTTGGGACATCATAGGGCCCCCTGCTCAACGTGAGGAGGGAGAAGAAGAGGAGAAGCTCGGCGTGAGGAGGAAGGAGGAGAAGGAAGCTTACCCCTGATGGTAGTCGTTTACCGTGTCTGCTCGACAACGTCAGCTACTTCTGTATTGTCAGCAACTAGCGCATCCCACCGTCCATATCGACTCCAGTCGCGTACCAGTTCTGCTCGCAGTCGTCAGCGAGCGATAGACGCAGGTTGAGGTATCACATTGTACAGACTCGCTGTCATGGCAGTCTTGAGCAGTGCGAAGGTCATCTGATAACCGTTATCATTACAAGCTGTGTGTCCCGTATCTGTCATCCTCCCTTTCATCCTCTCGTTCTTGTCCTTTCTCCCGCTCTCTTCCTCACCCTTCGCTCTCCCAGAATGTGCCTGTCTCTCTGTCTCTGCATGCCAACCATCCCTGCCTGCCTGCCTGCCTGCCTGCCTGCCTGCCTGCCTCCCTCCCTCCCTCCCTCCCTCCCTCCCTCCCCCTTCCTTGTTGTCTCCTTCCCATCCATATCGCCGCATTTAGCGGGTCAAATACACAAGCGAGCTCGCCTCAAGAGATTAAGTCAACGACGGTTACAACCATAGGCATATTGTAACGTTTTATAACGGTCACTCTTCAACTGAAGCCGGTTTGTCCTTCTTTTTCAGTCAATAAAGAAGTCAAACGAACATGCGGGGGAAGAACAGGGCGAAGGAGGCGGTGGAGGGAGGAGGGAGGAGGGAGGAGGGAGGAGGGAGGAGGGGCGGAAGGGAAGGAAGGAGGAGAGATGAGATGGGAGGGGAGGAAGAAAGCAGTAGAGTAGTGTGGGGAAGGGGAAAGGAGGAAGGGCTTAGAGAAGAGTTGGGAGGAGTGGCGAGAGGATAAAGGAGACTGATGTCAACTGAAACTACCTGACTGATTATGAAGCAGATCAAAGATCAACATCAAGATGCAGCCAGATCAGAATGCGGGGACAGAGACAGGAAAAGGTGTGTATCAACTTCAGCTCTCTCCCTCCCTCCCTCTCGCTTCACTTTGCGTTGGCTGTGATTGATTCGGTTGTCCAGATGCGCTGATCAGCAAGAAGATTTCAAAAGGGAAGAAGAAGAAGGTTGTAAGGAGAAGTCCAAATAAGCAGAGCAGAAGAGGAAGAAAAACTCAAAGCAGCAGCGGGGGAGGAGGGAGAGGGAGGAGGGAGAGGACGAGTAAGAGGGAAGGTATCGCATGCGGCTGAAATTTGTTTTCAGTCCGTGCTGGACAAAGACAAGAAGAACTTGAGCGTTGCCATGCCTGATTTCGTGCAGAAGAATGCTTCCTTCAAGCTGACGTGAGTACATCTATGACTGTTGTCAACTTCGTCTCTCCATTTGTTGCCATAGAGATCTCTTATTGATGTCAGTCTTGCTTCTGCTGGACTTGTTGATCCTGATCCCATCTCACCTTGTTCTTGTTCTTCTCACCTTGTTCTTCTTCTTCGCTCCCATCGCTCCTCATCTCAACAACTCATCTTATACTTGTCCTTTCCTTCCCCCGCTGGTCGCCCTTTTCTCTCCTACCCACCTGATTCTGATCAGAGATATTCTCATTTACCCTCCTCTCCTCCTCCTTGTCTCCTTCTCTCCTCGTCTCCAGGATCTCCTCCTCCACCCCCGTCTCCTCTCTCTCTCTCTCTCTCTCTCTCTCTCTCTCTCTTCTCTTCTCACTCGCTGTTTCAGTAAGAAAGGCTCAGCGCCAATGCTGATTGAGGCCCCCAAGAAAAAGCTGACGAGCCGACAACTGGCGCTCAAGTTCACCGAGCACAAGGTGAGTAGGCGAGACGAGGAAGGGAAGCAGGACACAAGGAGGGTGAAGAGCTACGGGGAGGAGGAGGGAGGAGCTAAGGGAAGGAGGAAGGAGGAGGGAGAAGAAAGGAGGAGGGAAGGGGAGGAGGAGTGACGGGGATGCAGTACTTTGTGACGGTGATGATGATCTCGACCTTCGGAGCTCTCTTCGGGACCGACTTGTGGGAGTTCCTCGTGCCCCCACCTAAGGCGATGGACTTTGTCATCTACTCGATGATGGCTGCCTGCTTCTTCGTGTTCCTCCTTGAGTTCTCGCTGCTCACCTGGAGCAAGGACGGCTACTCCCTCTCCTTCTTCTGGTGGCTGGACATGCTCGCCGCCATCTCCCTCCTCCCCGACGCCCTCATGGCCGTCAACATCGACCTGATCACGCTGCTCGGGGGCGGTACCTCCATGCTCACAATCACTCGAGCTGGACGCGCGGCTCGAGCTGGGACGCGAGCTGTGCGCATCATCGCGGTTCTGAAGAAGCAGTACGAGGCGAGGAGAGACAAGGCGAAGGGCATCGTGAAGAATGAGGGAGATGATGAGCAAGAGTCGATGATCGGCGGGAAGCTCGGAGACGGGATCACCGAGAAGGTGAAGACGAGAAGAGAGCGAGACGAGAATGAGGGAGAAGAAGACGAGCTCGATGACGATGATGATGAAGATGAAGATGATGATGATGATGATGATGATGATGATGATGATGATGATGATGGAGACGATGCTGCTGATGATGAAGAAGATGATGAAGATGATGATGAAGATGATGGAGATGATGCTGCTGCTAATGATGGAGATGATGATGATGATGGAGATGATGATGATGATGATGATGATGATGGAGATGATGCTGCTGCTAATGATGGAGATGATGATGATGATGGAGATGATGATGTGAAGGATAGCAGGGAGAGAAGATGGAGGACGGAAGGCATCTGATGGAGCGAGGGGGGGGGGGCAAGGGAGGAGGGCGGAGTGCAAGGGATCTAACGGAGGTTTACAGGTGATAGTGATCGTGACTCTGATGCTTATCAGCAACGAGTTGTTCAACCTCATCGTCTATACCACCGGCACTGACTTCACTCTCACTCTTCTCAACCTCGAGAGCTTCTACCTCGCCTGCGGCGGCAGCAAGGAGCATCGCGGCTGCTCGCACGTCCGCACCAACTGCACCTCCTCCACCGCCTCCTCGGACCCGACCTGCCACTTCAACCTCTACCTCCGCCAAGTCGTCGCCGATCACAACGGCGAGAGCCAGTGTCCCGGGGCCGTGGAGGACGCGGCGGTGAAGCGATGCCGGCTGGAGCTGTTTGACAGCAACTACGACTGGAGCACCTACTCCTTCCTCGGGCCCTGCGATCAGCAGCAGCTGCGTCAGCTCCGCCTCCTCGGGCATGACCTCTTCTGCGACGCCTCCGCCGTCGACCTGCTGCGAACCATCGTCAACGAGCGAGTGGTGGCCCAGCTGGCCTCGGACTCGCTGGTGGTGTTTGACAACACGGCGTTTGCGCGAGGAGAAGCGATCGTGAGCATCCTGCAGGTCTGCTTCATCATCCTCATCCTCGGCACCAGCTCCTACCTCTTCCAGCGCGACTCTGACCGCCTCGTCATCGGCCCCTTGTCACGGATGGCGCGGGTGGTGGAGACGCTGCTGGCGAACCCCCTGGCGCAGATCGAGGAGACGGAGGGAGGAGACTACGAGACTGACTTTGTTGAGAGGTGAGTGAGCGGAAGAGAGGCAGACCCAGGACGAGCTGCAGACAGGAGCGTGTGTAGGAGCACGAGTACGTACAGGAGCGCGGGGAGGGAGAGGAGGAGGAGGAGGAGGGGGGGGAGGGAGGACAATGAGGAGTAGGAGGACGATAAGACACAGGAGCAGCAGCAGCAGCAGCAGCAGGTTGTTGAGGAGGATAAGGCCCAGCAGCAGCAGGAGGAGGAGGATAAGAAGGAGGAAGGAGGAGGAGTGACGGGGGGAGCAGGGCGATCAAGAAGTTCGGCAAGCTGCTTCAGATCGCGTTCGGGGAGGCAGGGTCAGAGATCATCGGCAAGAACAACATGGAGAGCGACGGGGCCGTCAACCCCATGGTCGCTGGTCGCAAGATGCAGGCCATCTTCGGCTTCGCCATCATCCGCGCCTTCACCGACTGCACTGAGTGCCTACAGGAGGAGGTCATGCTGTTCGTCAACACCATCGCTGACATCCTCCACCGCTCCGTCAAGAAAGAAAAGGCAAACCCTCCTGCTACTGGCAAACCCTTCTGCTGCTGCCGCTCCTCCTCTTCCTGCTCCTGCTGCGCTGCTGCTGCTCCTCCCTTCTCCTCCTCTCGTCTGCTCCTCCTCCTCCTCCTCCTCCCTTCCTCCACTCCCCCCCTTCCCCTCCTCCCTCCTCCTCCTCCTCCTTTTTTCTTCTGCTCCTCCAGCTCCTTCGTTCTTCGTCTCAAGGTCCATGCCAGGGAGCTCCCAACAAGAACATCGGCGACGCCTTCCTCCTCGCCTGGCGCCTCCCCGACGCTGCCGATCTCTCCGCCCCCCATGACGACATCGCTGAGTGCGCCCTCCGAGCCTGCGTGCGAACATGCGTAGGTGAGCCTGCGAGCAGAGGAGGAGAGACGAGGAAGAAGAGCGTGAGGCAGCGAGGAGACGAGATGGGGGAGCAGAAGACAAGTCGCGGAGAAAGAAAGAGAAGGTCGAGCATCAGGAGGAGAAGGAGAAGCAGAAGCAGAGGAGAAGAAGAGACGAGGGGAGCAGCAGCAGCAGCAGCAGCAGCAGCAGCAGCAGCAGCAGCAGCAGCAGCAGCAGCAGCAGCAGCAGCAGCAGCAGCAGCAGCAGCAGCAGCAGCAGCAGCAGCAGCAGCAGCAGCAGCAGCAGCAGCAGCAGCAGCAGCAGCAGCAGCAGCAGCAGCAGCAGCAGCAGCAGCAGCAGCAGCAGCAGCAGCAGCAGCAGCAGCAGGAGCAGCAGCAGGAGCAGCAGCAGGAGCAGCAGCAGGAGCAGGAGGAGGAGGAGCAGCAGCAGGAGGGTGTGACGGGAGTGCTGGCAGAGACGCAAGCGAGCGACAGTCTGAGGAGGATGACGGAGAACCCCAAGATTCAGGAGCGACTCCCCGGCTACACCACCAGCATGGGCTACGGCCTGCATGTCGGGTGGGCCATCGAGGGAGCGATCGGGTCGATGCTCAAGATCGACGCCTCCTACCTGTCGCCCAACGTGAACCTCGCGGCTCGGCTGGAGACAGGCACCAACCAGTTCGGGGTCGACATCCTCATCTCCGAGCAAGTCTTCTCCATGATCCGCCCGGACCTCCAGCGCCTCCTCCGCAAGATCGACTGCGTCACCATGAAGGGCTCGACCCAGCCCATCGCTCTCTACACCTACGACGTGCCGCGGGTAACGGCCAACACGATCGAGGAGCTGTACAAGGAGGCGGAGGAGGAGGAGGAGGAGTTCGACTTCTGGGACTACTTCCGCCCTCTCACCTCCACCACCTACCGCAAGCGACACGCAGACGCTGTGCAGCTCTACCTCGAGGGCAACTGGCTGGAGGCCAAGAAATCCTTCGAGCTCTGCCTCCTCGAGTGGGCCGACGACGGACCCAGCAAGGTCTCTCGCGCTGCTGCTGCTAGTGGTGGTGGTGGTGCTGCTGCTGCTGCGGCTACGGCTGCTGCTGCTGTGGTCCTCTCTTGTTGCTCTTTCTGCTTCTCCTGCTTGTCTTGTTGTTTGACTCTCTCTCAGGTCGTCATGAACTTCATGCGCGGCAGAAACTTCAGACCTCCCGACGACTGGCAGGGCTTCCGCGTGCTAACTAGCAAGTGAGGTAGGGGGGGAGAGAGGAGGGGCTGGTGCTAGAGGAGGACGAGGAGGAGGAGGGCGAGGAAGTGCTGGTGGTGGAGGAGGAGGTGGTGGTGTTGGTGTTGGTGCTGGAGGAGGAGGAGCAGTGGGAGGGCGAGGAGGATGTAGGAGATGGATCTGTACATTAATAATAACAAAGCTACAAGCCTCCTCGCCCTCCCACTGCTACCTTATCTGTACCTGTATCTGAATATCATTTTCATCGCTAGGAGAGGAAGGGAGGCTCTGAGACAGGTAGGGGAAGGTAGGAACCCGCGCGGGTTGAGCCGTAGGCTATGAAAGCCCAAGGCTGCGTTAGCGGAGGTGGAGGAGGGGTTGCTCGAGGGACGGGGCCAAGCAAAGAGTCAGGAGGAGGAAAAGCAGAAGGATGAGAAAAAAGCAAGAGGGGGAAAGAGGAGGAGGGTGGAGGGAGAGGAAAAGCAAGAGGAGAAGCTGGAGGAGCTCGAGGAGGAGGAGGAGGAGGTCGTTGAGGAGGAGAGGAGGACGAGAGCCTTGAGTGGGAGGAGGAGGAGGAGGAGGGAA